CGGGGTTAATATAGATTTCACATTTTAAATATTCTAAGCTTAAATAGTAAAACAAAATGGCTAGGTGGCATAAGCTACCGCCCGATCCAAAGGGCTCAGCCGCATTCATCCATCCATCCATCCATGCGTGTTGTGAGGTGAAGCATCGGGCCCGGACACCTCTCGGCAAAGCAAACCACTCCGTTGGGAAACTGCCATAGAGACTGCTTTGAAAAAGTGGCCCCGATTTGTCCTCGAGCACCGAGCTAATGACGAATACAACGGCACCATTTCTCCCGCAGCGGCCATTCGAGGAACCGCACGTTACTGCTATTTTGGCTTTATTCGGCCATTTCGGCGCCGAAACAGATACAGTGGAAGAGGTTACAGGGTGCCAACCCCGTCTCTCCAGCGGACGCTTCGCATCTTACTACCTAGGTTAAAATGCACCTAGGTCGGGACGCGCTACCGGAAAGCACCGCTGAGGCATGGTAGTGTAAAAACAATATTAATTGTGTCGCAAAACCTTGCAAACTAAAGATTTTAAAAACACCACGCGCCCTTCATTTTGTACTAAACTCCAATGAATTTCGCACAAAAAGAGTCTTTCCGTTGGTTTTTACGCAAAAAAAAAGTCTTTCTAAAATCTCAAGGTGACCACAGTACAGACAAATGATAAAGAGTGGCGCTGTTGTCGTATTTAGCTCGGTCTCGGTGGACGCCAGCGGCCCAGGTTTCCACGGCGAGTTTCCCAACTGAGTGTTTTAGTAACGTTGCCTCTTGGGGACAAGCTGACAGGCATACTGTAACTTATATAGGAGGCACTGCCTAGAGTTACCGCAGAGTCTGTAGCGGTTTCGATGAGTTGGGTTTAGCAGACGACAATCTTGAAGGCTTTGCTACGCTGACTTCACTCACTTCAGAAAAGCCGCTGTCAACAGTGAACTTTTTCGACATTTATCAACTTCTGGATTGCTCCGAGGGCGGTCTTATTTATGGTAACTTCCTTTGATTACTCCACTACGAGAGCAAGCTTGTTAGCTCAGCCGTGGGTGCTCCGGCACGTTTGATTTTTTTAATCTGCGTTCGAACGCATTTATGTTTGTCCTTTGTCCCTCTTGTTCTCCTTCTCCAGGGATTATTTTCGTCACTCTTGTCCACCTCGTTTGTACCTTTGCATTTAATTGTATTATAATCATTGCTACTTTTGTTTGTTTCTCCCGTAGACTCGCGTGTATTGCCTGGTGTCAAGTAATGGCAGCCGGTGGTGCCAATAACGGGCTTCCGATCCGCGATCCAGCCTACTACAATAGGGATCAGTGGTCATGACGCTTACTCACCTTCTTCGAGGATGCCATATGAAAAATATAACAAGAGTAAAGCTAAAAAGACTGACTATTTATTTTGTTGATTTCTTTAGTTCTGTCAGTCGCTTATTACGCACATCGAAAGACGCTGGCAGACGCTTGTATTGGACCGTGACTCGTGCATGATGGAACGCTAGAACGCCGCTCTCATGGTCGCGTCTTCTGAACGTCGCAGAAGTTTTTAGGCGGGGAGGGAATAGCAGACGGACGAAGGCGAAAACGGACGCCGACGCGCAACTGCTTTCGTGTCCGCGTCTCACGGCGTTGCAGACGACGATAGACGACGGTGAAATAGCAGACGATACCGGAGCCTGCCGCTCGTCCTCTCGCACGACTTCCAGACTACTAGACGCACCAGATGACGCGAAAAGGGAGACACTACGATTGTGAGCCTGTTTAGTCGAGCAGACGAGCCAGTTCAGTAGTAATGTGGGCGGGGCCACTGCTCTGTTTGCGTGGCTTAAAGGGGCACTGACATCCCAAAGGTCGTATTTATTTTTATTGTCTAAAACGATGCAAGTTGCAGTCATAGACACGCAAAAAAAAACCGCATCGCGAAAAAAAATTTTCCCGCGCGCGCGCGCGCCTTTTTATTTTTGGCGTTTGATTTTCCCGCGTCTCGCCTCCTCGCTTCTTTTGATCGGTGACGTCAAAAATCAGGAAATTTAGAAGCTTTGTAGGCGACATCTCTATAACATTTAATTACGGCAATCCTAAAACATGTTTTTTAACGCAATTGCGAACGCACTACGGCCCTTCTTTTTGAAATACCAAAAATCGTGAGTTCGTTGTGGTGCCGTCTCCTGGATTTGTATCCTCCAACGGAAAACAGGCGACACCGCTCAAAACCGGTCCGCCGCAACGCCGGGCGCTCGCTCCTTTCCTCCTCGCTTTGGGTCGCCATGGCAACAGCAGGGAGTGGTGAAAGGAAGTCGACTCTCAGGTCTCCGCGATTTTTGACGTCAAGGCACCGGCGCCGATCGCGCGGGAACTTCAAATTCGGCATTTCGAAATTGTTTTTTTACTTCACGAATACTGAATTCCCAAATCTCAAATTTTGAGGGTAATGTCCCGGCATCGTTTTCAATCGTTTCGGATAATAAAAAAAAAATATGATTTTGATGTGTCAGTGCCCCTTTAAAGCGGGCTGTGACCTCCACCTAAATGGCGTCTGAGGGCGGAAATATCGCGCAAAAAAAATGGTTTGTTCGTTTTTTTCGGGGAAAAACTATTAAAAAAAAGTTATATCCATTCTGTGCTCTTGAAAGATTTTTTTTTTCTTTGCAGTGTTTTTTACGTTGCGAAATCCGGTTCCTTGTAAATACTGGGCGCTTAAGATAGAGCCAGAAATCGTTATCCTGCCCGCTTATAGTTTTGACTGAAACGTTAAGAAAGCTCGTTAAACGTTCTTAACGTGGTTTAACTAGTAAAGAAACCATTAAAAAAAGAACGCGCGCGTCATGGCAGGGGATCACGTACGGACCATAAAACTCGGGCTTCTTGAGCTGGCCACTTTGCGTACATTCAAAAGCACTTTGGGGGGCACGCTCAAAATAGCTCGTAACTCGTCGTTTGTTGGACAGGGGGCTATTTGCTTTCCTGGAGCCACGGAGTTCACCGAGTTAAAGGCAGCATTAAGCTTCACGTAAATATTGGATCAAATAACGTGAGCTTAAAGGGAAGTAACAAAGTGTCTTTAACAGAAATGGGAGAATGATACCAGACGCATTCGTACTTTTCTAGGTTTCTATAGAGGGGATCGGTGGCCGACCCCCCCCCCCTTCCCCCCCCCCTCCCCCCCCCCCCCCCCCCCCCCACACACACACACACAGCTCGGAGCACGTGGAGCGAAAGCTCGCGCTGCAGAACCCAGGATTCTGGGTTCAATCCCCACCCCTGCCTGTTTCGATCTACAGGGTGATACAAGGAGACGCCAGGCTCTTTAAATCGACCGGAAATTTCGGTTTCTTAACCTATCGCGCTACGACTTTGTGCAGCGTTGCCCACAGATGGTGCATTTTTTTTTTGTGAAATTTGCAAATAGCGAATTTACCTGAGGAAAAAGTAAAGAAAGAAAAAGGCTTAGCTCCTATGGAAACGCAGCGACGCCACCGGTCTGCAAACAACACGGCGCCGTTTCGCACGGGAGACAAGAGATGGCGCAAGCGGTTGCGACGCCAACTGCCGCCAACGAACGAGCAGACGACGCCGAGAGCCGGCCCTTTTGCAGACAAGAAACTGCAGTTCCTTGCTGTTACCGCGCCTGTCTTTTTTGTTTCTGCGACTGTCGCCGCCTGCGGAACGCGCGCCGCTTTTGAGTCGAAAAGATCGTCTGCTAAAATGGCCTGCTCTCGGCACCGTATGCTCGTTCGTTGGCGGCGTTTGTTACGCCATCTCTTGTCTCCCGTGCGAAACGGCGCTGTGTTGTTTGCAGACCGGTGGCGTCGCTGCGTTTCCATAGCAGCGAAGCCCTTTTCTTTCTTTACTTTTTCCTCAAGTAAGTTCGCTCTTTGCAAATTTTACACACAAACAAATGCACTATCTGTGGGCAACGCTGCACAAAGTCGTAGCGCGATAGGTTAAGAAACGGAATTTCCCGGTCGATTTAAAGAGCCTGGCGTCTCCTTGTATCACCCTGTAGATGTGCATCGTACCGGCACGTGGTCGTGTATCATCTACTGCGTGGTGCACGTTAAAGACCCCAGGCTAGCGGTTGTACTGCACTGGCTAAATTGCTTATCTACAGCGAGTGACTCTTTGCAACTTCGAAAACACTGACCAACTACACGCTGTATAAATATCCACACAACCCCAATTAATTATTAGGTCTCTATAGAAAACAGGCGAGCTGGTTGACGTGTCCAACGTTGAAAATCCGCAATAAAAGACACGCAAAAAGGTGACACACGCAATTCACCTTATGTACAGGGTGTCACAAAAGAAAATTTACACGGTCCTTTTTACCGCACAAATAAACTAGGCAACGCCGAACGCTCATTTTCCGCCCAAAACGTAGCGCTAAAGGTCACAACCAGATGCCAAAGTTTCAGCCCGATCCGATAACTTAATCAAAAGTTATAAGTGATTTTCTGAAAATTTCAATGGAAAAATGGCGGCCGATGGAGTTTTCAAACACACGGGGCTCTATGGCACCAGAAACCGAAAACGGCCAAAAATGGGCTCCATTTTCCCATTGAAATTTTCAGAAAATCACTTATAACTTTTGATTAAATTGTCGGATCGGGCTGAAACTTTGGCCTCTGGTTGTGACCTCTAGCTCTACCTTTGGGCGGAGAATGAGCGTTCGGCGACGCCTAGTTTAGTTTTGCGGTAAAAAAGACCGTGTAAATTTTCTTTTGTGACACCCTGTATATGCGTTCCTTGTTTGTGTTTGTCCTTCGTTTATTTTAAGATATGCTATATATGAATTATATGCAGATTCACACCGAGGGCATTGCAGACTGCCTCGAGTGGCCTGCTGCAGGTTTAAAATATCAGGACGACCCTCACCCACAAAGCTTTCGGCTCGCCATGATTGAAGGTTTCCTCCTCTCGAGCGTTCGTTCTGCTGAAGTGGAATGGTCTTCTTTATTTATTTTTTTTTTAAAGTTGATAATGATCAGGGATTTTACTTCGCGATGGCGGGTCACTCACCGGCCACTGCAAGCTCCCGGACGGACATGGCGAAGAAGTACAGCACGATGGCCGGATTCGTCGGTCCCACGTAGACGACGGACAGGAAGAAGACGCCTTCAGCTAGGAGCCCTACGAGATGAACGGTGCGCTTGTTGTCAGTGACGATGTAGTGCAGCTGCGCGTTTTGAGATTACTCTATCCTCGGCGTCGACTATTTTGTGCCACGTTGTCGAGGCTATGCGAAGCGCGAGTTCGTCTGCTTCTTTTGTAGCGGTTGTGGTGACGTCAGAACGACACCGAGCTCTGATTGGCTCTGATTGAAGGACAGTGGGTATATACTTCAAAGCAAGCTGCCTTGAGGTCTACCCACTATCCTTTGATCAGAACCAATCAGGGCTCGGTGTCGTTCTGACGTCACCAGAACCCCTGCAAAAAGAAGCAGACCAACTTACGCTCCGTATAGCGTAGCATTCACCGTGGACTGCGCACGCTAACGGAAGTAGCTTTGACAGCGTTAGAATACTGCAGAAGCTACGTTAGCCTTGACAGCATAGCACAGAATAGTTGACGCTGAGTAGAGTGTGAATGTTATATCGGATATTTTGGTTGATGTTGAGGACGGGGAGAAAATGTGAAACGTCGAAGGTACCGATATCACATCTAGCTGTTTTCACCGTGAATAGGGATTATCCGGAGTTATTGTAGACATAAAATAGGCTTTTTATTGCCTAAAGGAATGCCCCATGGCGCTATTCGACGTTCACTTTGTCCACTGGCAATTTCATTCGATACAATATGCACGTAGACCAATAGCCGACACAATACTTTTTTGGGCATATTTATTTCAAAGCAAGGAGAAAGCAGTTAGAAATCTGCAACTTGGCGCGTGGAACATAAAATGTAGATGATAACGCATCTCTAAAAGTGATTTGTAACTTGTTACATAAATAATTAGCTTGTTTTCGACTTGTTTATGGCTAGATTTTGAACGAAAGCGACAGCATTTATTATTACTGTGCACCGCTGAGTGCACTAATAATGAGTGACTGCTCTCGGGGACATCTGTCTGTGGCATTTAAGGAGCATACGAAGAGTGCAAATGCACAGCTTTCATGGGCGCTCAAGGTGCGCGAACTCACATGTACATATAGCTTTGCCACCATATTCACAGAAGGTCGTCCTCAAGTCTAACAAGACGCGTTTTTGTGGCGTAAAAGATACGTCACTTCGCTTTCTTTTTTTTTAACTTTTTTCTATCACCTCACCTGTGCCGGCGAAAGTCTTGCGCACCGTGGACGTTGTCATAACGTTTCTCTGCTGCAGGGAGTCGGCAACGAAGCCGCTCAAGATGACGGACACCATCATGAAGAGGTAGGGAAGCTCCTTGGCGTAACGGACCTGCATTGACAGAAAAAGATTGACCAGTTGCCTTCATCTCTTCATATACCCCTCTCATCTCTCCTCTCCTCTCATCGCGCGTTTCACGCCACGGTGTCACGGGACATCAGGATGACGTCTCGGTGTCCAACGCGGCAGCACGACTCGACAGCGTGACGTCGATTTTCCCCGCTAAATTTAGCTGGAAAATTTAGGTCTCGTGACGTGCTCGCTTGACGTGACGATAGCTTGCACCGCGTGACGTCAAGTCACGTGACGGACGCACGGACGGACAAGTTCCTGAGATCTCGCTAAAAAGCATTCGATGCTTGAAAACAATAAAATACACGCTTCGTACAGCCTTCTATGGGTAATGGGTTTGAATCCCGTCCGAGATACCCGCAATCTAATGGAAACTTATTGCAGAAAACGTGAGTGTAACCGACATCAGGTTGCGAGTCAAAAGATCATTAATTAATCAATTAATCCCCAGTCCTTCTCGCTGGGGAGTGCCATGTTCCTTTCGTTAGCACGGCACGTGTAAACAAAAAAAGAAGAAAAAAAGGACGTAGTAGTGTGACGAAAATAATCCCTGGAGAAGGGGAACAAGGGGGACAAAGGACAAACATAAATTTCCATACACAGCTAGGTGACTGGTGCGCGACCGAAAAAATCCGCCTGGTCCGGATATCGAACCCGGGACCTCTCCATTACAGGTGGAGCGCTCTACCAACTGAGCTAACCAGGGGTTAGACGTCAGTAGAGCAAACGGGTTTTATCAGCTGCCACCAGTCGTACACCAACAAGGGTGAAGCTTGCAATTTAATGTTATAATTTCGGTCGCGCACCAGTCACCTAGCTGTGTTTGGAGATTTGTGTTTGTCCTTTGTCCCCCTTGTTCCCCTTCTCCAGGGATTATTTTCGTCATTCTTGTCCAGCTCGCTTGCACCTTCGCATTTAATTGCATTATAATCAAACGTAGTAGTGTATTCGCACCGTGCACGGGTTTGCGAATGAAGAAACACGAAGAGAGCGCGAGCTCACCTCGTCGTTGTAGTACCACTGCACGATGTGCAGGAGGGTGTTGTAGGTCCAGCTGCGACTGAACGAGGCCAAGAGGATGGCCCACACAGGACCCGAGGACAGGATGGCCTTGATGGGCACGCTGCCCTGCTGCTGCTGCTTCTCGGTGGGGGCATGGGGGCAACAATCGGCAGTTAAACATTCGTGTCTACTCTCTACGGAACGAGTTGTCCGACATTAAAGCCGTAGTCACACCGCTCGCATAATGTTCAAGAGACACGGGGTTTCTCAGCAGACACGATGAAGAATTCTCCGTGTTCGAGTTAAGCGGGTTCGAATTAAGCGGGTTAGCTTCATGCGTGCGTATATATTGAACATGTCTGCAGAGAGTGTTTGTCTGGCCAATGTGACCCTCAAACAAGGAACAAACACGCCACAGACAATGTCTGCAGACTGTGTTTTTGTACAATGTGTGTGCAGTGTGACCGCCGTTTTTAAGCAACGCGAGAGATGTGAAGGTAGGACCTGAGTTTGAGCGCTTGTCTGTTGTGCTCTTTCTCGATTTATTGTCCTGTTCTACTTTTGCTTGATTTTTGCGCGCGTTTCCTTTTTTTTTATTTCTACATTATGAATAACTACTAACTATAGTTTAGCTTACAGCCCCTCCTACTTTTCTCAAGTGAAGGATTTCTCGGTATAATTTAGAAGATCTGCCCATTGCCACTTCGTTGTCAGAGCTATAAATAATGGCTTGCTAGCATTTTCATAAGGTTACCTGCACACGCTGGACTTGGAAAAACACGCTATATGAAACTTTTTTTTTCGGTATTTTGTTGTTGTTTTTTGCTTACACTGAGGTGGAGGGAAGGATTTTTTCAGAGGCTTTTAAACTCGTCTCGTTTATGGCTCGAGTATCCCGTACTGCGAAAGTCCTGGGAAGTTGTTTACATCATCTGCCATGATATAAGAGACGCAGTCCATGATAAATATGCCCCATGCTGGGAGAAGTAAAAAAAAAAAAAAAAAGATTGAGAACGTTTGTGTTCTATTCGTGAATCAATTTGGACTTATTACATTACAAAAGAAGGTATATAAAAGTCTACTTCAAAAGCTTTTGTTTTTTTCAACAGAACGCAAATGCAGATGTAGTTTGCATGATAAAAATGCAAAGTAAAAAATAAAACTAATTTAATGCACTTTCAAATGCTCCACTAAATACACTTTTTTTTTGCAACATTAGCTTAAAGCAAAGTGGAAATATACCCTGATTTATTTGATTTAAATCATATTTACTTCTTTTAAAACGTATTATTTTGCTTTAAATCACTGAAGCCGTGCAATAGTGCTTTTAACGTGGCACATTTATTGATCAATTTGTCTGATTACTGAAAACAATGCGGAAGAAATAATTACTGTAAATTTAAAGTACAGTTCAATTAACAATTTTCTATGAGGTAAACCCCTCCATAGTAAAAAAACAAACAAAAATAGATGGATATTTTTAGGTTAGTGAAAAAGTATTCGCGTTCTCTTTTATTTATTCAAAATACCTCAAAGGCCTGGTGGGCATTACATGAGGGGGGGTTATTTTCCAACAAAGGCATATAGTACAACGCAAAAACATTGAAACAAAAAAATAACAGAAATTAGAACATACTGACGTGCGACAAATTGTTTTCTAGTAGGACATTACTTTTCCAGTGGGTTTCTTCCTTGTGCGTTATTGCACTACTTACAATAGGAAGTTACGTAGCTGACGAACGAAGTGAGTGGTAGAAAGGCAACTCAACGTTCCGATTTGCTTAGAAGACAACAGCTTTGTGCACGTGTTCAACATGATATAAGGCTTTCTTGTCTGATGATTTATTGATTTAAATACAAAACAAATACACACAGAAAGCTTCAAATAATATACAAACAGTAAACAAACAAAACATTTTTTTTTTAAATTTATGTTTGCAGAAAAGGTTTGTTGAAATTTATGCTGTTCATGATGTAAAACAATCTGATCTTATTCACGATATAAATTATCTTGATTTTTATTCTCCACCCTGGGCTTAGTCTCACGATAGCGTAACACCTCCTATACAACAAGGCCTATAGCGCTGGAGTTTCTACGTCACGTACCGCAGGCCAGCGCGATGTCCAGATCAGGCAAAAGTGCTGCGTCAACACTCGGGCTGAGGACTGGCCTTCTCTCTGATCAAACTGAGCCCCAGCCGAGACCTAACGCAACGCCCGTGCCCCGTCTGTGTCCTGCGCTGGCCCGCGTCGGGTGACGTAGCAAGTACAGCATCGCGGCCTTGCTGCGTAGTATATGGTCGCTTCATCTCGCGCGAGTCTGGTTTGTGCGCACGCGCAATGCCCACACCATGTGTGGGCCAGGCCAACACCTCCTAGACAGCTTTCAAAGCCTGCGCGTCACATAACATGACGTCACGTCCCTGAGGCCTGCACGGGCGCTGATTGGATGCAAGTGCCGCGTCAGCATTCGCGTGGAACTATCATAGGAAACGAGTCCCACGAGAACGCTGACGCGGCATGCACTCCCATCCAATCAGTGCCCGTGCAGGCCTCAGGGACGTGACGTCATGTTACGTGACGCGCAGGCCTTGAAAGTTGTTTAGGAGGTGTTGGCCAGGCGGGCTTGTTTGTAAATAGCGTGGATGTCCATATATGAAGTGCTTGGTGGTGTCGCTTCGCGGCTATCATTGATACAACCGAATTGCAGCGAACATTACCGAGAAGGGGACGTGCTCCTGCAGTTGCAGGGAGTCGATGATGTAAATCTTCTCTCTCGTGGAAACTCCCGGATGCTTTGACGGCGACTCGGAGACGAGCAAAAACCAGGGCAGGACCCACAGGATGCCCATCAGCCCTGTCAGAAAGAGGCGCAGCTCGTTGCAGTCGCCGACTGCCGCAACCACTTCCGCGTCCTGCATCCGAGTGTGGCTTCCAAATATCGTGAGATTTATTCTTTTCACCTCCAACGGGAGTGGAACTATACGCGCCTTTGAGTGTCGCGAGACAACGCTGATCAGGAACATAGAGCAAAATTTTCAGGTGGTTTTACGTGCCAAACCAACGGAGGGTCTGGCACGCCCCAGTGGAAGAATGAGAATTAATGTCGACCTGGGGTCTATTCTTTGAAGCGCAACCAAAATGTCGGTTACAAGGCGTCGTCCCCGCAATAAGCCTCCGTCATGTGGGCACCTAGGCCGTAATTCGAACCCGCCAACTCGTTGGCACCTGCGCATTAATTGCATTATAACCATGACGGTCCCAAGCGCTTTGTTCGCGGCCACAGAGGTAATCTGGCCAGTGAAGTATATATGCATAGCCTCCTATATACTGACAAATCCTGGCATATCGCCACGACAAGCGGCCACCGAAATGGAAAAGGTGTAGCGGCAGACAACGGATGAGAGAAGAACCACGTTACTGGCGCCCCTAAGCGGCGAGACGCCGAAACAGACTTCTCCCGAGCAAACTAGTGCGCTTCGAGTCCTCGCCGCTGCAAATGCTGTGCGCTGACGTCCATGTCCAGGTTCCCCGAGAAATGGCTCTTTGATGCTCTGTGCTACCAGACCCTCGCGCTCCAAATCTGCGACAGGGCACTCCATGGCTCCGTTGTCGAACTGCCAGGCTTTGTGAGTATAGAGGAGACTATGATATCTGTCTTCGATGAAATTGTTCTGCTTATTAGGTATGGTGGCGCAGATTGTTTCGGCTTGTTTTACAGCACTTTAAAACGTCTATCATTACGCCATTTGGTACAGCCACATCAAGTGTATCAATAGACTGTAACACAGGTGCGGTATCGCAGCAGACAAAGTTGTTTGAAAATTTAGGGACTTAAAAACAGGTGGTGTCTTGTAATGTTCGTGTTCCATCATGCAGAAATGAGGTTTAAATTGAGAACAAAAAGATAAGTTAAAAAAAACACTAAGTCAATGACAAATGTTAGAATGCTTATCCTTGCTTTTAAGGTGTTCTGTATATATCGATGTTCAAAATAGTCGTACGAGGGCTGTAAAAACGCCGAGCGATTAAATGTCCGAGCTCGAAACTTACCGTAAAGGTATAGCCCCGTTGTCGAGCTGAACAGCCTCTCAGATGCAGAGAACACTTGAAAGCCAAGCAAGCTTCCGCAGTGAAGTCCTGAAAGAAAGGATGGAATAACCACTTACACAGTTCGTTCGCAATTGTACGGTAGTTTATTACCAAAATCTTTGAAATCACAGGCCGATGACTGAAGGAAGCACATTTCAAAACTCTTATTATTTAAAGAAGCACACAGGTAAAACGAGAAAAATCATTGTCTTCGTTTTCCCTTTTTTCCTCCGTCCTTTAATTGAAAAAAAAAAAATATGTACCTGCATAGCCAGCTGTGAACATTCTCGTTCGCTCCAGAGGAGGTGCCCAATACCTTAGGAGACCCTGAAACGCTGGAAACGTCAGTCCCTGCAATGTACAAGAAAACACCACTCTAACAACGCTCGCCAACGAATGAATTCTGATGTTTTCTTACGTCAGCGACCCCTTGGAGAAACAGCAAGGACATTAGGAAGATCTGATGGACCTGCATCACCCCCGCCACGACTAGGTGCAACGAAGAGTCCAGCAAAATGGCGACTGCGAATACCCTGACAGAGTGAAGCATCTGTTAGAACGTCATCACTCCAGGGCTTCTTTATGCCATCTTAATGTCTCAACATTAGGCGTATAGGACGCTACGAATTAAGTTATGCATACCCGTTGGCTGGATACTTGTAAGACAAGGCCGATCCTATCACATGGCCTATGAAGAGCCCCCACGTAAAAGATGACTGGAGGGAACGAATGAAGTCCGTCGTCCAGTTCCCAGCAGACGTATCGTTGTTGAGCATCTGCAGAATATGAAGAACACGATGCTTAAAGGGAAGATGGGGCACTTCTACATTTGAGAAAAAACGCTTGAATTGCGTTCATTTGGCCTTTAAAATAGCAGATATCACAATTATATTTCAATGCGACGCGCCGGAGAGCCATAAGAGCAATTTGAAAATAGGGCTGAAGCCCCGCCTCCGTAGCCTTGGCAAGCCAAAAGATCCGTCGATGACGTCACGTACAGCGACTATCTTTCGCGTTTTTCTCGCGTTTAAAAATTCTTGCGCGGCAAATGGTTTTGGTATTCCGGTTCACGAGGTAAAAATACACTAGAATTCACTTCTAACTCATTTTTTTCAAGAAGCTCCGTAGCTTCCCTTTAAGTACGGCAAGCCGCAAGCCTGACGGCGTACTCCGTTCTAGCAATCCCTAATTTTAGCCTTAGAGCGAATGCTGCGACTGCAAAATTAAAACTTTTGGAAGACATTCCTCGTGATCGGGAGCACGTGCAGTATATAGATGCGCATGCATGGTTTAAAATTATAATACTAAGTTGAAAAAAAAAGAACAGCTTGACAGACATACCGCGCAGTCTTAGTATGTCTTATTATCTATAGATTTGCCGTCTCCAAAACGTCTGGGTTTTTAACCATCATCTATGTCGTCACCCATTCATCTCGCATGCGCAGTTCCACTATACTCTTTTGCAACATTTGATCAGCAGGGTATGGTCTGCCTCCAGCACACGCTCGATGCCTTCGCTTTGGCTGCGCGTGCGCGGGAGTGTTATCAAATGTAGAAAGCTCGCGCCAGAGGCGGAGCTTCCATACTGCAGATCTTATGCTACAACGGCCTCTTTTCTGTTTGCTGCGTCTTCAGTGTAAATTGTCTATGCGAAGCGCAAGTTCCTCTGCTTCTTGCACAGGGTTTGCGATGAAGTAAAAACGCCGAGCTCTTATTGGCTGATTAAAAATAATTATGAGTAGATCTCAAGGCCTCTAGCATTGAGGTCTGCCTACCATCTATCAACCAAAGCCAATCAGAGCCCGCGGCGTCGTTCTGACGTCACCGCCACTCAAGTACAAAAAGCAGACGACTTTCTTTCCGCATAGTTACTGGCATGCCTCGGAAACGCAGGACATGGCCTATTGTGTTCCCACTTCTGGCCTCGTGATTGGTTCTACGGCGTTCTTGTCGGCTCATGCTGCAATCTCATTGGCTGTGGAGCGATATGATACTCGAGACTTGCCACACCCTGCACTTCTGAAGCTATCGGTGACTTTATAGTGTGCCGCCATGCGCGGTTCGAGACAAACATTCTCCCCTCAGTGAAAACAGGCTTTCACCACGCTATCTGTCACGTGGTCCAAACGGGTAATCTGGTAGGTCAGTGCACCAAGGACTATAAACCTTCCATGCCTCCTCTCCCTCACCTTCCAGTGAGCGTCCCTTTGTAGGCTGAAGGCGGCCTCTGTGAAGGACCGACGGATCCCTGACGTGAGCGAGAAGCCCATGAAGGCCATGGAGACGAGGATGCATCGCTTGGGCCATGTCTGCAGAATGGGACGGCCAAGGCACAGGCGTTGGGCGACGCGCCGGAGAGGCTCCAAGCGTCCCTCACACGCCATCGGAGGGGGCCCCTGCGCAAATCATATCCGGCACCCCGTTGAGCCACATTACCACTGCTCGCACGTAATACAAAAGACAGGGTGTCCGCTACAGACACAATGGCAGGATTATCTGAGGGCAAGCCTCAAGTATGCATGTTCAAATCATCTTTGTTTTGTTCCTTTGTATACTTCGAACATGTCTGAAAATATAGTACACACCAGCTCGCTTGCTCACTCAGTCTACACCAGATCCCTTGCGCCCTTACGTTACGTTCATTTTCTTTTGTAAGCAGTCACTTACAAACAAACCGAATTCGGTTTCATTAGAAACCCCTTTTTTTTTCTTTCTTATATTGTTATGTTGTTGTTTTGTTGGAATCGCCGTCAACCTGCTGCGTCAGCGGTGCCTACTGCCATGATTGAACCGATAAAAGTGGCTGATCCTAGCAGCTGGAGGGTCTTCGCCCTACTGCCGAGATGAAATTTAATAAACGCAGTCAGACCAACTTCAGTCTCCGTCTCCGTGGGTTACCCAATATCTTCTTATCGAGCCTTCGCAGAACATTGGTCACTGCGTTTCTATTGGATATTTAGCAATTGAATTTCAAAAGAATTTTAATATGATTTCATTGGCTGTGTTTTAATTGAATTTCAACAAAAAATTTAGCAACTTCATTAAGAAAAAAGCTTGCCTCTTGTTGGGAATTCTTATCTTATAAAACATTAATGCATGGTACTAGGAAAAAGAAGAAAAACGAAGTACACGAAGAAAACGAACACAAACAACATACTCGCAACACCTGAATCACTCATCCCTCAACTACTCCACCGCCTTGTGTGCCCGACATGTGAGGGGTATTCATTTGGCCGGTAACCACCTCGGCATTTATTGAGATTCCTAGTGTCCTATCGCCTCCTCGGAAGTCTGATGAACGGTAAACAGTGTTTCGACGTATTAAACCCTATCCCTTAAAAAAAAAAAAGAAAAGAAAGAATACAATGGTACATATTAGCAAAAATCCTTCGGTACAGTTGCTAAATCCCCAAAAACTATTCTACGTCCGGTACATTATCACTTCTCTGCATAGCACCTCTCAGGACGATAAGTGCAATAAAGGTACTTGCTCGCTTTAAAATATTTTTATGATTGTGTTTTTTTTTTTTTTTTTGCGAAATGAACAGGCTCAATTAAGTCATGATAGTCACTGAAATAGTGAGAACGGCATTGTGTGCTTTTCACACGCCCGGCCTTCAGAACGCTCCGTGCCTTCCACAGTGCCAGCGCGCGCGCGCTTGATGTGCACGAGGCGTTGAAGCGTTTTCGAAAGGCAGATTTGCGCTGGGTGGCAGTGAAGCTCCCATCTGTTTTTCTTAGGTTGTCAGTGACCCTAAAGTTATTATAATGCACGCTAGAGGTCCAACGGGCGTTAGTGTGCGGTTTAAAATTGAAGCAGACGGCAACCAGTCTGAAAATGACTTCGGGTAATGCATTTCTATGGAAAAAGTGAGTGCATTTTCGGCCTGCGCTTGATTACAAGAGCAAATATCAGGAATAATTCGTACGCCTACTAGATGGCTTGGAACATTTCTCAGTCACGTAGACAAAAATAGTAACCAAACACGGCGTTTCATTTTTTTTTTTTTTTTTTCAAATTTAGGTCATTATGAACAGTGCTATAATGGCTTCGTACATATATTTATGTACACTGTTCAACACTGCTGGAGCGAACACGGCATCAATCGGCGCTTTTAAGCATAAAAAAGGGGGGGAGAAGGGAGGTGGGGGGAGAGGTTCGTGTTAAAGCAGTGAAGAACATCTCGAAAATCAACAGAGACGCCAAGAACTACGCACATAACACTTGATCAATAACTACCTGCATGTAGTCATTTAAAATAACGTAAAACCACATAATGATTGCGATTTGCAATAAAACATTAGTTTTATTCACTCCGTTGCTATGTATGGGTGCGAAGGTAAGTTTGTTCTAGCGTTCAAAACTCACATATTCATGGTCGAAAAACTTTAAAAGGGGTAAAAACCAGAACACTTTTATTTCCCGATAAATTCCGCAAAATAACAAAAGGAGAAACACCCTTTATTATGCGCCTAATTTTACTGTTTTGCGCATTTTAACTGATCGTAAATGGGGGTCATTTTAATAACATGTTACCATTACAATAAAATCATTTCACTTTCTTGGCACAGTTCCATTTAAAAAGCATAAGGGCATTTCTTGTACACCCGTGAGCGATATAAAGGTGAACAGCCTCTTCTTGTTTTTGGCGCTCCTGCAAGTTTTGGAACAAGCTCTGTTCCAGAAAAGGGCAAGAACGCAAAGTTTAGACCCCCAAGCCACGTACCATTTGAGACGTTGAGAGTTAATGTAGCTTTAGGGAGCCCTAAAACAGGCAAGAAACCAGGTAAGGTGTTCACATTACATATTACATATTACATATGAATCTGGGAAAACCATTTATTCTAAGTAACATAAATGCGCTCGTCTTTTTTTCTCTCTCTCTTTTTTTTTAGCTATAGCTAAAAACAAATTCCTTAACTGCAAAGTGTGCGAATCTATTCGGGTCTTCAGCTTGTTGCTCGCCCTCCCGCGGCGGAAACGGGAAGCACTCTGTTGAGGTTCCCCCGATTCTCCTGTTCAGTGGGCACGGCGGGACTGCCCGCGATCATGGATCGCGATATGTCATTTCCGAATGCACACAACACTCTTTACAGCCCAATGTAGTGCTGCAGCCAGTATGGGATTGTGCCTTATTAGAGAGTTTTAGTATTGTGTATAGAAGCAAACGCTGTGCCTTCTCGGTAGAGTTGGTGCTTCACGCTGCGCCTGCGCCTCGTCACCATGCGCTAATCGAAGACCGCAATTTTGGGCTCCGCGCACGCGACTGTGGAACACAAACACCCAGTGATTGCGTTCGCTCGTATAAGTCGTACTAAAACTCGCTAATGTTTCACCGGTTTCCAACGCCAACGAAACGTGCTGCCCCGAGCAGTCGTGCAAGCGGGTGGGCGTTCCTTCGAACTGGAAAGGCTGAAATGGGCAAAACGACGGCGCGTAAAAATGATACAAAACTAAGTGTTTAAAAAAAATAATTTAAAAAATCACTTTTTTTTGTTTGCTTGTTTGTTTTGGAAAAGGGGGAGGGGGGGTTAGTCCGGAAGGACTGGCGGCGACCTTGGAAGTCAGTGCCGATAGTCAAACATCGCGACTTCGACAGCACCGTATGCTTTACCCAGAAATAATGTAATTTTATGTGGATTTCTCAGATTAGCTAGAATGTTTTAATTAATTTTAGACTATTTTTATTTTATTAGTTGTTAATTAACCCTCTCATGCATGAATTATATTCACTATGTCAGAAAAATTTTATACCCTGTTGTGGCATTCATGTGAACCGCAAATTATGTAAAAAAAAAAAGTCTAAAAAAATTGAAACGTATTTACAATAGCAGAACTTACATGTCCTCATTTGAGGACAACATGCATTCCAGTGGTCAAGTAATTTAATTTCTGGTAATTGTGCAATGGTCAATTTAATCAAAATAAAGAGTACATTCGGGCTACAACACGTTAATACTGTTTCATTTCTGTTCCACAATACTAAAGAAGCAGCTCTCAGCTAAAAAATACGAAAGTGAACATTTCACAAGGCATGAGACTCTTCAAAGCACTCAGGGCAGAGAGGAACATCGCAACGCCCACAGGTGTTCCGCGTCTTGCTGCGACAGTTCTTACTGCGACAGCGCTGCGCATTCTTCAGAGTCATTTTTCTGGGGTAATGTGAACCACCGTCAAGCCTCTTCTGAAGTGGCACGTCACGCTTGGACCGTTTTTTCACCGGCTGCAGAGGAGAGGAACTTGGAGATCGGCCACGTTTCTTCGTACTGTGTGCTGCTTCTCCGCCACAAATGAGGGCCTTAGCTACGCGGCTTCGGAACTCGAGGAGGTCCATGACAGGATGTCCTTCCAGCTTCCAGATGAACCACGCATTCATTATGGCAACGTTGACCAGATGGTAGAATATTCTCATGTAGCCTCGCTTGTTGCGGACATCATTTCTGTACCTCACGACAATGGAGTCCATGAGGTCCACACCTCCCATGTGTTCATTCTAGGTTTTAACGGAATAAGGCCTAGGCACATCAAGTACTTCTTTATACTTCTTGTTGTGTATCGACGAGCGTGGCCATTTGGTTCGCGACCGACGTAGCCCGATGCAATGCGGACGAGAGAATTATCGAACCACCTTGTCAGCGGCGTAAACTTTCCATTTTCCCGGGGGGGGCAGGCTGAGAAGTTTTCCGGGGGAAGGGGGGGGGGGGGGGTGCATTTCCGCGCAATTTTTTTTACACCGGCAATCATCAGTAGTTTATTTTAGGGGGTACATTTTACAGTCTATGTATATCGCCATGTGTCCGTCGCTGTGTGCGTTATTTTGTTTACATGCCACTACTAGAAGCTCGTAACATGGCACGTAAACAGCGCCTCAGTAACGATCATAGCCTGGGGGGGGGGGGGGGAGGGGACTCAGCCCCCCCCCCCCCCCCCCCGAACCTTACTAGGGGGGCACGGGCCCCGATGCCCCCCCCCCCCTCTCCGTAGTCTACGCCTACGCATTTTGTGATGGTGATGTTGTCGGTGGATGTGCACACTGAAGAGCTGGCCCTTCCTTCTGCTTTCAGCTCCTTCATAGGCTTCAGCTTTCCACTGGCTCTATCTAGACGGTTTGCCCGACACGTATCGGAATACCACATGTCGTCTTTCAGCTTCCTTATCAAGGGGACTGAAGTGAAGAGGTTGTCGGCGTAGATTTCGTGGTTTTTCTTTTCCAAACCGTTCACAAGTCTCAGTACAACGTCCCCTGCAACTCCATACTCAGAGGATGGCGTCTTTCTTCCACCACTCGGACCTTGATAAATCTCAAAGGAGTATGCGTAGCCTGAGGCGCCTGCCCTCACCCATGTCTTGTAGCCCCATCGTTTAGACTTGCTCGGAAGA